AACATGCAGAATATTAAGCATTACTAAACGGTTGAGGGCATATTTTCACATCTAGCCCTATAGTCCCCAAGGATAGATCTGAGCTTGAGCCATCTCCCCACCCTACCCACCCATTTCAATTCACAGGTCCTCAGGCCATCCTATGTAAATGGCTGATAAGTCAATAAGGTTGAAAAGATTGAAAAAGCAATGTAAAATTTCATTCAAATCTTATTTGAGTGTTTGAACTTTAAGAAATCGTAACTAAATATAGGCTTCGAAGTTACCAAACTCATAACTATTATTTGTTAGTTTGGTAGTTTAGCTGTTGCCTCATCACAACAAAACAAATCTGTGGGAGGAGGAAGGGAGATGTATTGCTTAAAGGGTACTGAGTTTCTGTTAAGGGTGATGAGAAAACTTGGCAACAGATAGTGATGATGGTTGCACAACATGATGAACATAATTAATGTCTCTGGATTGTACATATAAAAACAGTTTAAATGGCAAATGTTTTGTTATATACACATTTCAGCACAATAAAATTTAAAAAGTGGGGGGGGAATAAATCTGATGCCCCAATCCTCATCATCTAAGATTATATTTGCATACAATTAAAAATTTGAAATATTTAATGTATTCCCTTAACATCATTCTAAAGCCAAAATGTTGAACAATTAAGAAATGTCTGTTCCCACAGTGGGGTGAAATTTTGCTATAATTATTAGGAAACATACTCCACCAAGTATATAAATTAAAAATCCATTATTTTGAATTCCCTTTAGAAATTTGACATATATTCAAATAAACATCACACAGGAATAAAACCTGACCCTGACCAATACAAACTGCCGAAAGTAAAGCACTTACCTTAAAAAGAATTTAGGAGCAGTTCACAAATACACTATTAAATAAGGCGATTAAGAGTTTTTAATTGCAGTGCACTGTTATTGTTGACGGTAACGGTAAGAACTTTCTCCAAAAAAAAATTAAAATATTTTATAATATGAGCTTTTAACTAGTTACAGCACTAGATCATTAAAAGAGGTGGGTGAGTGAGTGATTTAAATCATTTTTAAGTATAAACATTCATTTTCACATTAGTTTTAAAAAAGAGAACCAACTTCCCCCCACTGCCAGTCCAATACACCTTAAAATACTAGTTACTTCACAGTGGGAAAGGATGGCTAATAAGCACATTTCTTTCCCAATCCTCTTTTCTACCCATTCATTAAACACCAAATACTGAAAAGTGAATTCAACTCCTACCTCCATATTCCTACCAGGAATGCACCCTACAAACACCCCAATCCCTTCCACTGTCACTTATTCCAACTGTCAAAGCCCCACCTATTAATAGTAAATCCCTTTCATACTGACTCACTTTAACTTCAACTTGATGAAATAGACACCCAGCAGAATTTACAAAATTTGCAAATGGAATTTTCCTATTTTAAAACGATTAAAATAGGAAGTAAAAGTAGAGCATATTCAGACTAAGTTATAAACATTTAAAGTTAAACCAATATATAAGCATTTATGTTGCTTATTCTGTAACTGGTTCAGTTCACATATTTTTCTTTAAATTTGTAGGCCAGGCATTGTGTAATTACTTATACACATGGCTAAGTTTTCCGTGCAAATAAATTTGATAAGTAAACACAAACTTAAGTCATTACACCAAGATTGCAAGAAAACTTGGAAATTTTTCAAATTTTTTCTCTTTAATTATGGAAAATTTCAAGTAAACACAAAAACAGAGAGAATAGTACAATGAGATCTCCTGTATTCATCATTCAGCTACAATCATCCCTCCATTCAAGGCCACTTTTGTTTCATCTCTACCTCCCACCTACTCTCTCCTCCCATTATTATCTTCAAAAAAGAATTAAGACGAAGACACTGTTCTCAATAAGTACACCGAGAAAAATCTAAAGATAGAGAAAGTATCAAAGCTTAGCAAGTTAAGAAGTCAAGAATCCAACTATGTAACTGTGCTGCCACCCTCCACAACTCCTTGTTAGGCGATAAATTTAAGAATTCATTTAAAAACAAAAAAATAATCATCTTTAAGAATTTTAATGAAGTCCACAAAACCCAAAGGACATATTTAAAATCACATCTAACAGGAGTATGTGATGAAAATTAACTCAAACATCTGCAATTAGCTCACATTCATGTAGCACCTTAGCTCAAAACGAAAAAGCCTGACTATTTAACATAATGTGTCATAAAATTACAATTCAGCCACTTGAAAAACCGCTGAACACTTATGCCTTAACTGGTCCTTCTGATCCGCAATTATAGATTGATATCAACGTAGAAAGAAAACTAGGCATTTTAACGTAAAGTGGTTTAAAATGTTCAAAATTAGCCCCACTGTTCATTGGAAAATATATGAAAGCAAGTCTAAACTACCTGAATTGTATGTCATTAAACAGAAATGTATCCACTTTCCATGGCCGTCATTTTTTTTTTTAATAAGTTCGCATATACCCTTAAACACAACGCGCTAGGCTCCAGATAGAATTAGGAGACCGCCTCCTGCTTATGCTCCTAACCAATACGCAAAGAGAGAAGGTTGGCATGAAAGTGCTGCGAGGACAGTAACAAACACCAGCAGCTCCCGAGCAGGCCCTGTTAGAGCCAGGAATGACGCACTTCGGTAACCCGACTCTTTCTCCCCTCCACCCCCGCCCCCAGCAGCGGTGCTGACACCGCCAACAGCCCGGAGTAGGAAAAAAGACAACAGAAAAAAAGGCAGAGGCTGGACCGCACCGGGTTTCATGAAGAAACCTCGATTATTCCTCTTTCGACACTTAACTACTAGGACTAAACAGGAAAAGAAGCTTCGCGCTTAAGCAAGTCCCATCATGGTGGTTTAAGAGTCACTAAATTAAGCTGATAATGAGTCCAGTCCACAGAGACAAATACAGGGTGTGGCTGCCGTGAAATACGGCAGTCCGTGGGAGAAAGGGGTATGGAATTTACACTTGAGTGTGAAGGGAAGATGGGGCTTGACGGGGGGTGGGGGGAGAGGCGGCCCGCGCATTTTAAGGAACCACTGCATATCAGCACAGGTTCTTCGTTTACTTAAACCTAGCCCTACAGATCAAAAGTCCCTAATAGATATTATATAAACCATGTAAACTTTCAATAGCCATTTAACTAAACATCATGACCCGCAATTTAAAAACTACACCTAAGAGGGAAGGCGGGGGAGTGATAGTCAACAACATAAAAACATTTCTAGGCCACGGAGGAGAAAGTCTCACAATCCGGATGAAACTACGAAATGCAATATTAAAAATTAAAGCTGAACATTGCAGCACATATACCAAAAAAAAAAAAAACACACACACACGATAGCCCATTACAGTTTAGAATTAAAAAGAAAATGACATATACACCAAGGGGGAGGGGAAACTAAATGTCTAAAGTACAGCGGTTTACAAAAAAAAAAAAAAAAACTAGAGGCAAAACAAGACTTTCTCGCGACCAAAAACAAACAAAAAAAAAAAGCAGAAATCAACAATACGTTTACGAATGTAGGCCAGAAGAAAATGGGAACGGGGCTCAAAGTTTTGCGGAACTACTTGATGCTGTTTCCCACACCTTCTCTCTCCCATGGCCCATCCGACCCGTTTCGTCTAAAATCACCAGCCAACGATCACCGTATGTGTTATAGAAGTAAAAGAGAAAAGGGGGAGGAAAAAAAAAGTCAATCCCAAGCAAGAAGAAAAGTGTGGAGAGAAAAAAGCAGATGCTGCCTACCTGGGGCAAGGATCAGCTCAGTTCGTGCCTTGAGAAAGACAAGTGCGGGTGGGGGTGGGAACGAAAAGCAGCACTAAAACTAAAACAAAAGTGGCGCCAAAACCCCCCAACAAACAGCCTTCCACTCCCGCCCTTCCCCCCTCCTCCCCTGCCAGGCAGGCAGGGCCCCCTTGGGGGCAAGGTCTGCACGCGGGGGCCAATACGGGAAGACCCCAACGTCTTGATAAAATTGTTGCCCAAAGAAAACTGACCGAAGTCGGTCCTCGGAAGGGATGGAGAGATCGATGCCAATCGCTTTCCCAAGCAATTCCCCCACCACGCGCTGGAGATGATGGGGCGGGGGAGAAGCCAAGGGGCCCGTCACATGAATGTTGTTCCCTCTCTAGGAAGGGAGGAAGAGAGGGAGGGAGAGGAGGAGGGAGGGAAGGAAGGAAGGGAAGGCAGAAGGGAGGGGGCACGAGGGAGGGGTGTGATCAGAGTAGATTTTCCCTCGCCTCCCTCGGTCCGAGGCCCAAATATACACAACTGAGCCTCCGCTTTTTCCCCTCCCCCCGTAGTTCCCAGCACCACCATTTTGCTCTCTTCCTTCCCCTCACCACGATACCGCGCTCTCCCCCACCCCGACCACAGCCTCCCCGGCTTTCCTCCCCCGGCTACGGTTCGCACCCCACCCCACCTCTAGTTTTGGCTCTCCTAGGCTTAAGAGCCTTCCGGGGAAAAGGAACCTAAACCTAAAGCTACACAGGGAAGCGGAGCCTCCATCTTGCGCTGCTCCGCGTTCTCCATTTTGGGCCACCCATGGTGGGGGGGGGGTCCTCTGTAGAGGCCCCGAGGGAGAGTTGGACGAGGGAAGGAAGAGAAAATCTTCAGCGAGGGTAGTAGAAAAGAGAAGTCCTGCGGTAGAAAGCCACTCTAGGAGTAGGAGGTAGGGACAAGGGGGGCTGTAAGTTCCTTGGTAGTGTTGGGGTAGCGACTGGGCAGAAGGGAGAAAGGAGGGTTGGGGGTTATGCGGGGGCGAGGAAGATTCTCCCGGCTTGACTTAGCCAGCCACTCGCTCCACGGGTGCCCCGGATGGGGGCAAAGGAAGAAGAGGGGAAATTAAACTGCAATAGAGTATCCAGCCTCTTTCCCTCCCAACACCTCTCTCTTGCCCTATTTCAACAACACACACCTCACGGTGGGCCCCGCGCCCTCCGGGTGCCCCTCCAAACTTCTAGAAGCTTCGCCTCCGCCATTTTATAACTTACCTCCCCCCTCAGCGTACACAGAGGCAGCAACGAGACTGTTCGCCTCCCCCACTCCTCCTTCCTTCTTTCTCAGGCCGGGGGCTTCTTCACCCCTGGGCTGGTACAAGATTTTTCCCCTTCCTCTTCTTTACACCCTCGAATTCTACTCAGGGACGGAAGCTCCCGCGGTTCTAGAGCGGTGGGGGGTTTTGAAAGTGGCGGTCGGATCCGGCGGGTTTTTTTTTTTTTTTTTTTTTTTTTTTTTTTTTTGGTGGCGCTTCGGGATTGTTTGGGGTGTTCGCTCTTCGGCGACTTGGAGGCGAATGGACCGCGCAGGCGCCATCTGTCGGCCACGAGCCCGCGCCCGGCTCCCGTTGGGAGGGAGCGGCATCTAGCGGCAGCGGACTGGCGCTGCAACGCCTGTCTCGCAATGCTCCCACCCAGCGTCCTCCTCCCAAGCACCAACCAATCGCGGTCGACTAACTCCTGGGTTCAGCGTCTCCGACACCGCCTCCAAACGAAGCGCCCGCAGGGGCGCGCCGCCGAGTGGGGTAAACAAGGTGCCGTGCCCGCGCCTGACTTACTCATTCGTTTGGCTGCGCTTCCGCCGCGGACCAGAGTGGACTGCGGTTCCCGTTTCTTTATTGGGGGGCTAAGGGGCGGACGGGAGGAATGTCCGGCGGACCCCCGGGCCGTGGGAATTCAAGGAGTGGGCTCGCTTGAGGACTCGTCCTCCGGACTCCTCCGCCCCTCGCGCAGCCCCGAGGTGGCAGCCCTGTCGGGCATCACGCTCCGATGTCCCCTCCTCTGACACGCCCAGCGAGGGGCCTTTGGCCCGCGTTCCCAGACCCTAGTTTCACCCCGGCTCCTACCTTTTCCCACCAAAAAAATCCAACTCGCCTAACTCTGGCACCTGATTCTAAGTCATTGAGGGTTTCGGGGGTTGTTTTGTTTTGTTTTGTTTGCTGTTTGCTTCGGGCGCGTAAAGAAAGCGAGCTGATTCTCCACCGGGAAGACCTGGCACTGAAAATTTTTTTTTCTTTACAACCCACTAATCGGGTCTCCGAGAAAACGGGGCCCCTACCTACAGGGTCTAGGAGACTTAGGAACTGAGCTACTAGACTAGGCCGGGCGCTTGACCAATTTATTCTCTGCGGGGGGAGTTGGGGGACGGAATGGAGAGCAGTGGAGGGAAGTCGAAATTTTGGCACCAGAGTCGGGAAGGGGGGACCTCCCCGGTCTTCCCCGCCTCCCCCGCTTACCCACCGCCTTCCTAGAAACCTGGGCGGGGGCGGCTTAGCGACTTTGTTAGGAATTCAGGTTCCAGCTTCTCCTGCCTCCCCCACCCCTCCCCCAAAATGTTTGAGGTGCGAAAGGACCGCTTCCGCTCCTTGGACCCCTGTTAACTCAAGTCTTTATCACCCTTTTTATTTTTTCTGGTTTGTTTCAAATCCAGTGTACTGGACCTTTCACCGCCTAGAAGCTCTCTACACCAGGGAGAACAACTCGGGGAGGGCCTATCCCCTCCGAAGCGCCGCTTTTCCTAGGACTGGAAGGAGTGACCTATTACCGTGTCTCCATAACTATTATGGAAGTCCTCAGATTTATACAGTAATGTTTCGTTACGAGCTCGTCGTTTCTATTTATTGTTGCTATTTGGTTAAAATATTTCTTTCACATTTAATTATTTTTCAATTAGAAAAAAAGGAATGAAACATTAATAACAAGACAAATTTTCCAAACGAGAAATGGTGCAAGCCCCGTTTAAACGTGGAGATTTCGCCCGATATCACTTAGAAGGCATTCCTAATACAATATGATTATTTTCGGTCCCTAAATTATATTCCTCCCACATCTGTGGCTTAGTTTCTCCCATCCTCTGTGCTTATTGGTTGTTTTTTCCACCTGTAACTTTAAAAAAAGAGTTATGGTATATTTAATCAAGTGAACAATAAAAGTTAAACAGAAACATCTAAATATCAGTAACATGAAATAAAGTCTGAGACATTTTTACTTACCTCTAGAGCTTTGGGGGAGTAGAACCCTATTCAGAATAAATTTCCATTTCTTTTATAGACCATCTTTGGTAGAATGTTATACAGTTTTTAACAGATACGAGTTACAGAATGATGCAGCTAGAACATTAAATAGGGAGAAGTGGAAAATTTACAGTTATATAAGTTAATGCAAAATTCCTCTTGAAGTAATAGAAAAATAGGGCTCTGTACCAAATCATTTTACATTAATTCAGTTCAATTGTGCCGATTTAATATCAATTGATATTAAATGACTTTGTTTCAGTATTAGCTGAAAACTACAGATTTTCTGCCCCAAACATCACATTAATAGTACATGGTGCAAACAGTTTTTCATCTGTTTTGTAATTTTATGTTCTCAGTTGATTGTCTGTGGAGCAACTGAGACTTTAAACAATTTTATACTTTGAAAGCAATCAAAAAGTTCCTCTGTTTCGTACACTTACTTTCAGTTTCGAGCAGTACCACTGAAAAAGATGAATAATTCACTGGTATAACATCAGAAATAAATTTTGTAGCAAATTTATATGGACAATTAATATCCACTTTATCATAATAATATAATATCTCATCTATCGTAACTTTTCTTTTTTGCTAGAGCTCATTCAAAAAATATTGAGCCTTCAATATGTGCAGGACAACACAGTGCTATGTGTCCTGATCTTATCCTAAGAAGTGTTTATTTCATAGGGTACTGAAAGACCAAAAAAAGAGTTCACCCTTAGAATTTGAGGACAAAGTGAGAAAATGTCATCAAATAAAATATGTAACTGATGTAAAATAAACTTTAATCGTATTATTAGTAACATGTCCTTCATGAGATAATATAATGGCAGAAGCTTTTGGTGCCTGATAAGAAATATTGAAAAAGTTAAGATGAATAGTTAGAACTTATGAACATTTGATATTGTGTAAGGGACAAGACACTATTTGCTGCAAAAAATATTCTTGTCACTAAAAATGTGGACCCCCCCCCCCGACAGTATAGCAGAGATAATCCTCCAGGCTTACAGTAGTCTGAATAAAACATCCAACAATTCTCTGTACTCTGGCACCATGCAAATAGAGCAACCTTCTGATTATAAACTCGGTATCCCAGAGAGCCTCATGCTCTGGAGAGCATACATATATGTTTTGTATTTCCTAACACCTTTCTGAACATGGCCTAAAGCCCAGAAGACTGAAGATGGATAAATTTGAGTCCACAGAATTTAAAAATTATGTATCTCAAAAATACCATAAAGTCAAGAGAAACTATAAACTGTGAGAAAATATTTGTTACATGAATGAAAAAGGCTAATTTCCTTAATATATAAAGAACTCATAAATCAATAAGATAAAAATCAATACTCCAGTAGAAAAATGGACAAAGGATGCGAACAGTCAACATATTGCAGAAGAAATACAGATGGCTAGTAAATAGGTAAAAGAGTGTTCAACTTCATTCACCACTAAGAAATGCAAATTAAATATCACTTTTTTTCCTACCAGATGGGTAGAGATTTACAATTTTGATAATACTTACTGTTGGTGAGATTACAGTGAACTAAGAGCTCACGTATACCATTGGTAGGAGTGTAAATTGTTCAAAAAAAAACTGGAGAAAATTTTGGAAATACCTCATAAAATGCACATATCATTTTATCTAGCAATACATTTCTAGGAATCTATCATACAGATATGTTCATACAAGTTACACAAGGATATATATGCGAAGATTTTCATTATAGCTTTGTAGTAGAAACTGGCAACAGTACAGATGGCCACGGTTAAACCAAAAAACCAAACCAAACCCATTGCCATCAAGTCAAATTATGACTCATAGCAACCCTATACGACAGGGTAGAACTGCCCCATAGGGTTTCCAAGGCTATAATCTTTAGGGGGAGACCTGGTGGCACAGTGGTTAAGAGCTCAGCTACTAACCAAAAGGTTGCCAGTTCGAATCCACAAGCTGCTCCTTGGAAGCCCTAGGGGGCAATTCTACTCTGTCCTATAGTGTCGCTATGAGTCGGAATCAACTTGACAGCAAAGGGTTTGTTTTTTAATTTTTAGGGAAGCAGATTGCTACATCTTTCTCCTGAGGGGTGGCTGGTGGGTCCAGACCTTTCCATCAGCAGCCAAGCGCTTAACTATTGTATCACCAGGGCTCCTGGCCACCATTAGGGGATGGTTAAATGAATTATGATACATCCGTATAAATGCGGTCCTCTGCCCACCAGTAAAACAGTTATGCAATTAGACATATGTTGTTGAGTGAAAAAAATTAAGTTACAGATAGCTTGTATAGTATGAACTCATTGTGAAAAAATATATACACACATATATTGTTGTTGGTGGTTACCATAGAGTCGATTCTGACTCATGGTAACCTCATGTGTGCAGAGTAGAACTACTCCATAGGGTTTTCAAGGCAGTGACCTTTTGGAAGCATATCTTCCAAGGCACCTCTGGGTGGGTTCGAACTGCCAACCTTTCAGCTAGTAGTAGAGCATTTAACCATTTGTGCCACCTAGGGACTCCTATATACACATATATATATATACGTACGTACGTATATATATATATATTTGCATATGCACAAAGCATTCCTGAAGAATAGACAGGAAACCTAACAACAATTCCTTCCCAGGAGAGAGGCAGTGCAAGTTTCCAGGGCTTGTAATTTTACCTTTCACTTTATATATTACTATCTTATTTTTTTTTTCAGTGAGCGTGTTTATCACTTATGTATTTTTTATAATCTTATACTGGTTACAGTCACCCTAGAAAACAGTTTGAAAGTTTCTTATAAAGTTAAACAGACTTACTGTATGATTCAGCAGTCTTACTCCTGAGCATTTATGCTAGTTCACACAAAAAGCTGTACATGAATGGTCATAGCAGCTTTATTTGTAATAGCCAAAAATAGGAAGCAACCCAAATGTCCATCAACTGGTGAATGGTTAAATGAACATTAGTACATTCGTACAATGAAATACTACTCAGCAATAAAAAGGAACAAACTATTGATACACACAAAAACTTGGATGTATCTCAGGGCATTAGGCTGAGTGAAAAAAATGCCAATCTCAAAGGATTACACAATGTATGATTTCATTTATTTAATATTGTCAAAATAACAAAATTATGGTGATGGAGAACAGGTCAGTGTGTACCAAGAATTAGGGCTGGGCAAAGGGCATAACT